TGGCTCGTTTCGAGAACGCGAACTGGCGGGCTCGAGCAACATAAGACGCTTCTCGACTAGCCGTGGAAGTCATCTCGGCCTGGCCGAGGATATCGGCTATCGCAAAGAGAACGGACTGAATGTGAAAGTACTACAATATATACGTGTAGGGACGCACGCGTTCGCGATTACGGCGAACGCATAGTTCGCCATTAACCCCTCTTTAGCCAATAGCGTACAATTGGATCGTTGCATGCCAGTATCTTTGAGCGGTGCAAAGATACGATTCGATGCCGATCCTATCCTTGCCGGCCGCGAGCGAGACGAGAGCCTCGAATCAATCGCGACACGAGTTTCAACTAAGTTAAAAAATAAAGGATTTTGAAACTTTGGTTGAGGATGAAAAAAATTTTCTTAATGAAAGGATGATAATAAAGAGAGGAATTAAGGAAAGGGAGAATTTTTGTTTAATTTTATTTTTTTAAAAGAAGCTCGTACGTATCGCCTCGTCGATGGGTTTAAAAGCTGGAGGAATATAGGATCTTGTGTCGATTGGTGCGCCAGGTCAGTTTAATAATAACTCGTCCAGAGTATCCTGATAATGATAAATCGTGTCTTATCGCTGTTTGCCGGGTGTCCGTAATTAATGGCCGGCCAAGACGAGAGCCAGTTTTACGGTCGCGCGCGAGAGAAATGGTCTATGACACACCATGGGTCGTTTTAATAAACGCCGTGTCGTAGATAATACAGGCCAATCGTATGCGAACGCATGAAACCACGCTGGCGTTTTGCGCGGTTTTCTCGCATCCGCGTGCGAACGATGCTGGATAATCGATAACAACAGGTTGACGGGTGATTTTTCTTGGGAAGGAAGAGATAGATTAATTAAAAAGGGGGAAAAAAATGTTTAATCAACGTAGATGTACGCCTTGATCCATTTTTACGAATCCATTTGTGATATTCGGGATAGGAGATCTGCCAGATAGGGATTGGAAATTAGTGTAAATGTGTATATTACGGTTACGTGCCAACCGAACGATTATGCAAGTTTTCGATGGAAAATGTTTGACCGGTGTAATGACGTCTACGTGACGTAAGCGCTTCATTTATGAAACACGCGTTTCATTCTAAACGCATCTGTTGAACGCATCCGATTTATTCTCAACTTCAATAATTTTGTGCAAGTTTAAATTTACAGACGTATGAGACCGATCGTTCACGCCTCTGGCTTCCAACCAAGTCGAGTTCTCCCTATATGCCTTCGACTTGGGCAAATAATCGCGAGTCGTAAAATCACGGAACAACTTTCTCTGTCACGTCAAATGCTCTTATTTTAAGCAATTTCTCCTACTCGCAACAGCTCGTGTCGAACTGCAACCATAATGATTTTCCGTATGATTTCCGCTTCGGCATAATTTGCCGTTATATATACACAACTCTACGAAAATAGGACAAACGTAAAATCAATTCCGTAATATATTATTTCATTTTGTTTTATTTAAAGCCTCTCGATGTATCTTTCGTCTAAATCGGAATGATCGATGGAAACGAGGTATTTCAATTCGACGAAAATAAAAAAAAGGAAATAATTCGATTACAAAGAGATATACGTGGAGATTAGACGCGAAGGCGTGCAAGTGCAACGTTTCTAATCGCGTTTCGCGTTGGTTAGCATAGTCGATCAAAGCGCGACAATTTAACAATGTAAAAATATCGATGCTCCCTAACCTATATTTGTACCGTCGTTTTTCGTTTTGTAATGTTCGAGTTAATTACAAGAATCATACGCCAATTATGAATCCCGATAATTGTGACGCCACTCGATCGCGTAGCTGTTGAAACGTCTATTCAATTGTCCGCGAGTGGAGCGAGCAAACGCGAACAGCTGAAACAGGAAGTTGAGAAACTCCTTGGCCGCGATCGAAAAGTACTGGAAGCATCGAGAAGTACGTAATTCGCTTTTCGTCGCGAAACTCCGCAATGTATCGACACTCCGGTCAAGTGCAGCGAACTTTCGTTGGAAAAACTAGGCACGACGTTGTGAACGAGGCTTAAATCAACTTTGAGAGCCACGTGGGCGAGTGTGTGCGTGGTGAACGTGTGCAACGCCAGATGGCGTTTACAGGTACCATTACACGGACGAGGCGCATCCACGGTACAGAGGCGCGGGTGCGCATGTGCACGCGCATGCGCATACTTCCATATACTTCCACCGCTCACAGTCGCACGCACACACTCGCGTTAGTCGGCACTGAGCCGGGTATATACGTGGTGCATTGGGGTCCTTGCTCCCTGGCGTATGTGGGTCAGCAGTCTCACACACGCTACTATTCTTGCGTAACCAATGCATGCATACGACCGACAGCTGCCGCCACTGCGGCGTGCACATGCACACATCGAGACGGAAAGTGCAGCCAATGCACTAACCTACGGTCTCTTCTTGAGAGGCCGCCGGCGATCTTGTTGTGTATATCGTGTATGTGTGTGTGTATGTGTGTGCGTGTGTCTGCGCCTCTGTGCCGGGCTCAAAGCCACGCAAGCTCTCGCTATCTCGGCCAAGCTTTTTCGAGGTTCTCGCGCTTTACCTCGATACTCGTGGTATTTGCTTCATTAAACGCGACGCTGTCCTCGTAAGGAGGAAGAGGGAGCGCGAGAGCTTTCCAGATATATCGCTTTTTCTTTTTTCTTCCCTCGGCTACTTTTTTCCCTTCGACACGCGATTTTTAATCGAATCTAGAAAGTTCGATGATCGAAAAGTTGTGTTATTATCACGAGTTAGAAGCGTGTTCCGCCGTTTTGAATAATTAAGAATCGTATAAAATTGTATTTCAATATGACAATATTTTTTTTTAAATTAATAGATATAACGTAAAAGTGATTTTAATAAATGATTTTAATAAATTATGTATTTATAATAATATGAGAAAAAAAAGACATTTCGGTTTAATAAAAACGTATTTAACGTATTTATTTTTATAAATCACATACGATTCATTAGAAATTATAAGAAAGATTATTTGTATACCAACTGATTTTATTAACGTATTTTGTCGTTTCGTACTTTGTATTTCTGTTTTATTTAGAACACGATAGAAGAGTATATGACAATCAGCTATATTTAAAATGTTTACTATATCAATCAACTCAGAATTTATATAACCGAACGAAAGGTTAGACATTTCATTTTACATAACAGGAAAAGTAAAAATGTTTTTTCGATCTATGGCGATCGACTCGATCGGTGGCGATCGAACGAAATACATTTTTTCCCTCTTATCGCTATTTTCTTTCGTGTCGTGTAAACGGGATAATTATTTTTGAAAATTCATTTCCTGGCACTCGTAACAAGAATGTAATCGTAACAGGAAGCGACTTACGTAATCCATCGCGTGGTAAGTGAACGAAAAGCATTAATATTCGATCGAAGTTTTAAAAATTCAATGTACCTTGAATCACTTTGATGACTCAAGATTACTTTAAATATCCCCCTCCCCCCTTCGAACAGATCTTTTTCCCCCCATTAATATAAATTTATCATCCGTCCGTTAATTACCTCAACTTTATATAGATCAATTTTATCATACATCTTAATTAAAAATCCATTTTCGCTGTTCGACGAAACAAAGCTAAATATCTCTTCTTTCCAAAAAACGCGAAAACGACGAAGAATAAAGAAAAGGCGGAAAGGGCGGAAACTCGTTTTCGCGACGCAAATAGATAGAAAACCTTGTACGATTCTCGCGCGTTGACATATTTCCGGCGAGTTAGGTACCATCATGTGATGAATCTAGTGAAACGGAGCCGCGTAATTTCACGTAGCACGGGTAGATTGAACCGCCTATAGGGGCCGCCGATGGTGAAAGTGACTCTCCCACGCCATGACATCCTAGATCTACAACTCCCTCCCCTCCTCCCCCTCCACTTCGGATCGTGTCCGACTCCTCTAGCCGCCTCTTCCCCTCCTCGGTTTCTTTCCTCCACGGTTTCGCTCCCTCGCTCGCTGCCGCCACGCGATTGGCCGCCGCGATTCGTGCCACGAGGAAACGAATTCTTGACAATGGTAATGAGTCGCGGATAAAATAATGCCGCTCGCCTCGAGCCTCGGGACCAGGAAGTATCACGGCCCGTGATTTAGAAGGGTGAACCGTGGAATCGTGGACGAGTTCACGAGCGGAGAAGAAGATGAAGAACCGTTTCGAGGCTCGTAAAGCTTCGCGGAGAAAGTTAAATAGTTACCTGTCGCGGGATTTCCAATTCGAGAGGAGGCATCGAGGAAATCTTCGTTATCGTTCGAGATAACCCATTCGTTTGAAATCCCTTTCTTTTTTTTTTTTTTTTCAAAAAAAAATGTCCTTTATCCACGCGACAAAATATCGAAAAAGAGATATATTTACGGTCTTGTACGTGCAATACGATTGGATAGGATGGACGGAACGGAACGAAAGGGACATCGCACGTATACGATGACGTAGTTTCGCACTTTATCACCGCGTGCCGTTATTTGAAAAAAAAAGAAAAAAAGACTTATCAGGCTTATCGGGCCGAGTCCTCACGGATGTGAAACCTCCGTTTTCAACCGTGTCCACCTTCGAGTTATCGCAGGGGGGAAAAAAACATCGGTTTACCGGGGTATAACGGTACAACGGGTATAATGTGGGAACACCGATTTTACAATTTTACCGACTCGATCCGGGTGAAAAGTACGCATATTTATCGCTCGATTCTTCCCACCCTGTGCGCGACTGTATTACGTGTCACGTATTACGAGGAACGATGTTTAAACGGTGGATCGGAAAAAGGAACCCTGCCTTCCAAGTCTCGCTTCGAAGGAGTTGAATCGAGTCGAAGCGTTCCTTCCTGGTGGCGCAAAAAGAGGATTCTCGATCAGGCTCGCCGAACTTTCTTTTTCGCGTGGAGGAACGAAGAGAAAGGGGAGAAAGAGAGAGAGAGAAGAGAAACACGAAGGGAACTACACTTCCTCGAGCGCGTATCGCGTTATCTCGAACAAGCTGGATCGCTCGCAAGGAAACGGTATTATCGCGAAGGAAAGTTCTCTTCGTATGCGCGTCGCCATTAAACCAACTTTTTCTCCAAAAAAATCTACCAATTTCGAATTTCGCGAAAACGAATAAACAGAAATCGATTAACGAATCGACCAAGATTAAACCAGATTCCTTCGAATATTCCTCGAATAGGAAAATTTTTTTTTCGGTAAAAAAAAAAACCTTTTAATCGTGGAAATGCAGAGAGAGAGGAGCCGGTTTAAAGGATCTGCACCGAATCCAAGAAATCTCGTATCGAGAAATTTCTTTTCCACGTTACAAATATTCCTGCTTAATTTTTCTCGCTCGCTCGAAAGAGGAATATCGGCGAATCGGGCACAGGCAGTGAGAACGGTTAGCGAGTGAGAGTCGGAGAGGCCTACGGTACGTTGAACCTCCGCAGTGAAAGTTTCTATTATACCACTGGCCTTACCTTACTTTTCCTACGGCAAGCTCTGCCGTGTTGTGTCATAAGCCGACGAGCGGCGTGGAAACGAATCGAAATTCGTTCCATCGCCTACGTCCTACTCCGTTCAACTTTCAGACTCGTACGACTGGTCACCGTACCACGACGCGAGCAAAGCTTCCTCGCCGCTACCGCCACGCGTTTTTTCAATTTCCTTTCTCTCCTCTTCCCTTCTTCTTTCATTTTTCATCAGAGAGAAACAAAAAGTAAATAAATGAATCTCGTTCCAAAGATTTTCCAATTTTCGATTCGATTAGCTCTCGATCAATTTGAACTCTAAATTTCGAAACGCTGGAGAGCGAGGAAGCTTACTTACGGGGTCATTGGATTATTTATAACGATTTTCTTGGCCAAACTGCTTCACCGTACGAATCGAACGATTTCGTCGGATCAGCGCATAGCTGATCCTCGAAACGTGTCGCAACACAACGAGAACGTCGGCGTGTCGAAACAGCAGGAAGCCCCGTTTCGCGAACGATTCCCGAGAGGAGAAGAGGGAAGAAGGAAAAAAGAAATCCTCCAACTTCGAAAAAAATCCGTTGCAAAACTCCTCCTTTGCCTGGGAACTCGCTTCCAGGTTTCTACCTCGTTTTCGCAATAGATCTGTAAAGGAATCTCGATATCCTCCTTCAAACTTTTAACTTCCTCCACTTTCGATCCTTCTATCGCGAAAAATTGGGGGAAATTACGCGAGAAGAGAATTCTATTCTTTAACTCGAGACTATAATGCCAGGATTTTAATTTTAAAGAACGAATCTCTCGAGGAGGGAGCATGATGGTAAGTAAGTCCTCTCATTTAAAATTAGCGAACCGTGCAATTGTGAAATCCAGTGTTATTGACCTGGAGGGTCAATAAATTGACACCTGCTCGCACTTTTCGATGATCGATCGAGAAAGAACGCGCGGGATGCTTTTGCGCATCGATAAAATTCGAATGCAATCGGAGATCGACTCGATCGATCCGAGAAAATTCTTGTTTCATTTGGTTAAAAATAATCGAAAATAGAAGGAATCCTACCTATGTGACGACCTTGCAGAACACTCATCTTCGCGCACATGTTACACGTCACGATTAACAACGAATCCTTCCTAACGAATATCCATAAAATTTCTTCTGATGCGAGCAATATCAGCCGATCATCGATCGTCGCTCCCTACGAGATACGTGCGCGGCGGAGGGGAGCATGGATCTATAATTAAACACACGTTGCACGGCGAAGTGGTGCACGGGAATAATTCGTCCCATCCTTCGAGATCCACATATTTCTCACGAGTTGTGTAAATCACTTTGGCCGGAGCCCGGTCCAAAATCGAGATACCGACCGACGGTGGTCGTCGCGCACACGATTCATAGCTGCCACGCCGGTTTTTAAATAGAAGACAATGCCTTCGGGAGATGGTTGATTCACTCGCGAGGCGAGAGCAATAATACGAAGGCCGGAAGAGAGCGAACTAAGGAACGCACGCATGCACGCACGCACGCACGCACGCGTTGCACGCACGGAGCGCGGAGGAGCCGAAGTGAACGCCTCGCGCAGCCCAAAGTTTTTGGGGCAGCCAGTTGTGCGGGCCACGCGATCCACCGAACTCGTGGATCCACGCCGTTGGGTGGTGGTGGCACCAGTGACCTCGATACCAACCGAGGCCCTCCAATCCAAACGCCCAATGCCAAAAACTCATATAACGCGGGAACTTTCACTCTCTCGATACCCTCTTCCAAACGCCCGACAATTCCACTCGGGATTCCGATTCTTTCTCCGGCCAAGATTCTCCTCCGCCGATCGATTATACCTTCATCCACCACGATTACGTATTTACTTGGATGGAAGGCGAATTTTCCACGAAAATTCAACGAGAGATTCTTCAAACGATTGGAAACTTTCACCCGTCCCTCGATGCTAGAAGAGAAGAGAGGCAACTGAATTTGTCAAATTGTCGTCTCCGTGATTGTCGGAGAAAAAGAAAGGAATCAGTTCAGAGAAGAATTAAACGATAATCCCGTGGATATCGATGAAAAAATTGCGCCATCTTCGTTACGAGATTACGTGTACGGGATCGACGCGGAAGAGTCCGTGTAAAATCGTCGATTAACCCCGCGCGTATAGTTACGTAAGTGGACTAGCTCGAAAGGTGAGGAGGAGAGGGGAGGGGAGGAGGGGAAAAAATCGAGCTCCAAATAAAGAACCGGCGAGAGGAAGAGGAGACGAGACGAGGCGACTCCTCTCTCGTCACCTTTTCTTCTTGTTGCGATTTCACTTTCGATCGCCAACGGTTATACATCGCCATCATACCCGATAATTGTCGGCGCGAGATCGCACGCTCGATTCTTCTCGGTGTCTCGCGCATCTTCTGTCGCGCGCCGGAGTGAGAAAGAGAGAATTGGCTGGGTTGGTCAGTGTTTCGCTCGTAACATAAGATAAGAAAGTAATGAAAGTTTCGTCGAACGAAAGTTTTTTTTCTCCCATCTTCGTCTTTCTTTCGTTTCTTCGTTCTTTCTCTTCCTCTTCTCCCTCTTCTTCTTCTTCTCCTTCGTCGCGAACTCCCTCCCCTCCCCCCTTCACTGCCTGCCTGTGTTTCTTTATTTGTTTATTTTCGATTCACGAGAAAAGAAAAATTCATCGATACGAGGGATCAAGATAGATATATAAATATAACTTTTCGTAACGAAACGTTATAACAATTAAAATAAACTATACCGGTATCTTACGTATATTCGACGCGGGACAACACGATTTTATTTTAACCCATCCTATTAGCCAACAGCCGATTAATTTTCTTCCGCTTCCTAACGTTAACCCACTCGTTGCCAGGAGCAAATTATGTAATTTCATTTCGTATCGTCATTCCTGTTCTCGAATGTTTATCTATGCAACTTCCCCTGGTTATTTCTCTGCGAATATATTCAATTTTCCATTTAATCAATAACAATAACAAGAATTTAACTTTTCTATAATAAATTCCATCCGCGATAACTTTTTGTCTGTAATGCAAAACGTTTTTATTCGCATAGAAACACGTTAGAATTCGATAAAAATACGCTCGTGGTTGGCAGCGAATACGTTGAAAGATTCAAACAATATCCGTTATAATTTTACATACGTACTTAGGCATTTCGTTAGCCAGCTAACTAATTCATCGAACAAATTCATCATCGAAGATGTAAAGAGAGATGAAATTATGGAAGCGACGAAAGTAAAAGTACGAGAGAGGGACCTTGCTGTTTGTCGTCATCGCACATGACATCGAATCCTCTTTCTGCCTCCCTTCCCCCC